CATATGGTTTGCTTTTTTATAACGTATAACGTTATCTTTTGAAGAGAAAACCGGACCAGCTAAAAAGGACGCCCTACAATGTAAATATAAGGTAATGCAAGTAATATTTCCAAAATCGATATTAATAATATAAAAAAGTAAAATTTTTGTTGTTATTGGGTAAGGTAAAACAGTACAGTGTTCACGACAGAAGAGGTCCTATCGAGGTGTAGGTGCTCTTCGAATGCAGGACGGCTGGATTCGAACCCGGGACTTTTACCTGACAGTGATGAACGTCATTCCAATAAAAAAAGATAGACGTATAACAGATTTTTATTTTGAAAATTGTCTATTTGTATTAATCCGTGCTTTAATAAAAATATATAACTAAACTGTTTTTGTAATTAACAAATAAAAATTAAATGAAGTTGAACTTACGGGGTTGAGGATAGACCATAGCGGACGACACGGACACATTTGTTCCACTTACGAGCCTACGAATCCGATGTAAAAATATACCAACGAGTGTATTTTATATTTTGAATATTTTTTTTCATATAATGACGATAAATATTACAATTTAGTTGGTGTTTCTTGTCGGCCGGATGACTGATACATGATTGGAGAATTTGTCAGGACCAGAGAATGTACAATACATGACTTTTTTATTATTATCGACGTTTGGGACTTATTATAGTCCTTCATCAGAGAAAACGTTCTAGAAGGAACGAAATACAAATAACAATACATACACATTATTCTAGTACAGCTTTTAACATTTTAACTTTTTATACTTTGATTTCTGAATGTTGGTTGGTAACTTGTGCAAGCATCTTTTCAATTCCCCTGCCTACATTTCCTAGTAAGTGGCTGTAGTAGATTGTAACGAATAATGTGTAGAAATTGTTATTTGCATTTTGTTCCTTCTAGAATTTTTCTCTGATGAAGGACTATAATAAGTCCGAAACGTAACTATTGGGTTGTCCGGAAAATAATGCAGGATTTTAAGTTTTCATTAAAAAAAATCTATATAAAATATTCTGTTTACGTTTACAGGATTACTCATTTGTATNGAGAGTATGGGAAATTATTTTGATTAAAGAACATTGCTTTAAAGTAACTAGTTTCTTTTTTTTTGTTTAATACCAAAATCCTGCATTATTTTCCGGACAACCCAATAGTAATAAAAAAGTCATGAGTTGTTCATTCTCTGGCCACCACCCTGACAAATTATCCAATCATGTATTACAATTTAATTTCACACTTAGTGTCGAAATAATGCAATTTTATACAACCTTCCTAACCCATTGGTTATCTATTGTTTTTTTCCCTAATCGTTAAGGTCGGTCTGGGTCATGACGCTTTTCAAATAAAGGAGGTGTGTCTAACTGATAAGTTGCTCACATTATCATATTGGGGGGTCCTGACGTTTCCTGACCCCCTACTATTAAATTCGTAGAATAATAATAAACATATCTAATCGTCGAATCTCCTTATTCCTTCATAGGTTTACAAAAAAAGGCAATTTTTTTCAAAGCAAAAATGTATCAAATGTTCTAATATTACAATAGAATGTTTACAAGGCGGAGATAACACTCCATTGTTTTTCGCCAAATGAGTTGTTAAAAATTATTAGAAATAAAACCTTATTGACAAGAAAATAATTATATAAGGGGAACTAAAAATTAATACATTTTCTTAAAAAGAATTCACATTTCATGAACTATCAATTCATAGAACAAAAATAGACAGCTCAAACATTCTAATTCATTTTTTGCGCATTAGGTTCATAAATAATTGTTATTAAAAAAATTAAAATGAACCGATATTCTTATTTTTTAAAAATAAATAAATAAAAATGTTGATTTGATGTACTCATCTTTGAAATATTTGGTGATGTAAACAAAAAAAATAAAATTAAAATTAAAAATAAATATTAAATTCAACAATAATAACCACATTAACAAGTTACTACAAAATTAAATATATATACAATAAATAAATTGATAAGGAAGTCAAATAATAATTTATTCAAAATTAATAAATAAATTCACTAATTTCGTGGTCCTCTTGAGCAATTAATACATTACAATTAATTAAGGCTTTTAGTTGAGATGAAAAAAATGGCAAAAAGGAGGGAAAACTCATAAGGTGGGGTTGAGATAGGAAGTTGATGTCCGAGTGGATCGAGATACGACTGATAGCTCAAGTGGTAGAGCAGCGGCGTATCTAGCCGAAGATCGTGGGTTCGAATCCCGCTCGTGCCATTAGATTTTTTTCATCTCAACTAAAAACCTTAATTAATTGTAATTAATAAATAAGTTATTATCAGGGATGTTATAGGTTGTATTGTACATGCCTATGTTTCGACACGTGGGATTTTTATGCTCTGTCATTACTTACGAAACGTGTCCAAAACATGAGTAGAAAAGATTATATAGTTAGTCAATATTTTATGATATATCCTACAGGGTGGATGTGTGTTAAGAGCTAAATTTTAAACACCGAAAATTTTAATAAATCTTTACCCCTTAGAAAAGCAAAGGCCTAAATTATTTATTTAAAAAAATAAATCGGCTATTGAAATCGTTTCCATATGTTATTAAAATTTTTACAAAGAAGGGCGATCTTCACAGAACTATTTATAAAGTAAAACTTTACAATTACTTAAATAGGATGTTTTTTTCTTGAACAAATAACGTCCTTGGAAAACCAAAAAGTACGTATTTAATATTTTTTAGTATAGTATTAAATTTTTAACTTTTTTTTTAATTTGTTTTCTGGATACTTCATTGCCAGTACAACTTCGGAGAGATGTAGATAGCACCTGTTTTGAAAAATCTCAAGACATTCATAAAACCAACTAGCACTAAAACTGTAAAAACATCAAATGAAAACACTTAATAATAAAAACAGAATTACAATATTACTTTTTAAAATTTGTGCCTTAGCTCTGTTATTCTTTGACCAATTTAAATTGTGATTGAGCCATCGTTTTCAATGTAATATGAAAATAATAAAACAAATAAATGTAATAAAATTATATATATATGTATGTATGTATATGTACATATAGAGACAGAAAGGGATGCATAAGGTAAAAGCGTACGAAAAAGGGAGCATGGACAGTATGGAGTACGTAGAAAAAAAAAATTAAATTTAAATAAAATGAAACAAGTATAAGACGTTTGTTGCAGATTAATGAAGAAATAATTTAAAAGGGCATGTTATCGATTTATTTAACTTCCGTAAAGAAAAAATGTAAATTAATTTAGTAAAATTATATATATACATATACACACATATGTATACACATATACATATACAGATACATATACATATGCATATACATATACATATATATACATACACGCATATACATATACATGCATATACATATAAGTATATATAACGGAAGTTAAATAAATCGATAACATGTCGTCCTTTTAAAGTAAATCTAAATTAATCTGCAACAAAACGTTTACTTGTTGTTATACTTATATANAATGCCCTTGGGCACTCTCAACACGATAGACAAGAATGACACATCAACACGGGAAAAAAACGCTTTGAGCTCTGAAGATGATCTCAATAAAGATCGAAACGTTGGCACGATAAAGAAAATATTTTTTTAACTACACCAGACCGCATCTCACGACCTCCAAATAATTATTTATTTATATTACAATGTGCACGTGTCAATAATGAAAAAATAACCACACAAAAAATTAGTTCATGTTATAAATAGGTTTTTTTACGCGACGTTACAATGACCTATTTAAAAACAAAGCACGAAATTTTTAGAAAAATTAACAAACAAATTACCTATAGAAAGCAATAATAAAAACGAAATTTAGATTTTTAGATTTAGATTTAAAATCTCAATTTAAAATATGATTGAATCAGCGTTTTCAATGTAAAAAATCCTTTAAACAGTAGGTAAAAAAGTATACGTTCTCATTTAAAATTTCGAAGTTGTACTGGCTATGGACTTATCCTATGAACAAATATTTTCAAAAAGCGTTAAAAATTTAAAACTACACTAAAAAATATTAAATACGTATCTTTTGGTTTGACGTTATACTTTTAAGAAAAATTCAGTCAGGCCATCTAAAAACGACACCCTATGTATGTAATTGTAAAGTTTTACTTTCTAGATACTTCTGTGACGAAAATCGCAGTTCTTTGTAAACATTTTAGTAATATGTGCAAACTTTTTCAATAAACTATTTATTGATTATTCAGAAATCGTGAGATGCTGTCTGATGAGATGTAGATTTCGGAAAAACATTTTCTTTATCGTGCCAACGTTTCGATCTTTATTGAGATCATCTTCAGGACTCAAAGTGTTTGTTTTCTGCGTAACTGTGCCGTTCTTGCGTGTCGTGTTGAGAGTGTCCAACTAAACTATTCATTTCAATAATTTAGGCCTTTGCTTATCTAAGTGGTAAAGATTTATTAAATTTTTTGTGGTGTTCTGTGTTTGAAATTTAGTTCTTAAGACACATCCAGTGTGCAGAGTATCTCATAAACATTGACTAACTTTTACCTATTACAGCATTTTTTACTTATGTTTTTTACACGTTTCTTCGGCAATTTAGCCAAAAATACTTGTCAAATGTAGAGCGGTCGATATCTGGGCAAAAAGGTCCATGAGTCCATTATAATGGACATTGGTATAAGGGCCTGGCCTCGACGTCTGGAACCTTATGTCTTTTGGTTGAGGGTTGAGGCGCCAACAGGAAATGAAGGAAAGATAGTAATTGGTTGCATCATACTAAAAAATCGGAGATGCCTGACGAGTCGAAGGACGACGCGCCAAATCCATTTCCCTGTACATAAATCGAGAAATTTGGAAAAATTACTCAGATGCCATCCATCGGCCAAAATCTCCGGAATATGTTTCGATCAATTTTTTTTTCTGTAAATTGTTACAAAATTTTGGAGAGGGGGTTCTCGGGTAGTGGGGAGCGCTATATATGAAGGAGCCGTTCTCTTCTACTTCACAACTGTGAGTGAACTTCTCTTCTCAAAATGTACCTGAGACTTTCATATGTGTTTATAGCCGTTTTATCGGTTGTTGTGTTCTCAGATTGTTATTTCATAAGGTAATAAATCTTATTTACTCGTGATCCTTTTTTTAATCTATATATATGTGTGTGTGTGTGTGTGTGTATTTTTTATTATGATTCGACCATCCATTGATAACAGGGTTCCTTCTTAATCTATTGACGTCCAGGACTGTTTTTTTATATTCAATTTTTTTTCTCATTTTTTCATTTTATACAGTTAAACAAACACACTGTGTTAAGTGTTTTTTTATATTAATTAAAGCAATCAAATATATTTCCAAATATATCGTTTAAAATTTATACAACTTTATAATTATATTTATTTACAATAATGGTTAAAAAGCTTTCAAATTTATTTACTTCTCTTTTGAGAACAAGAAATTCCGAAAAATGGTACTGGGGTTGCAACTCAGATATACTGTTGCGTAAGCCAAACTTGAAACAGCTGAAAATGAAACGTGAACGTGATGTACCATGGTACGCTAGACTAACTAAAAAAAAAAATTTTTTTTAACTGCTTCAAGGTCTTCAAAATACGTCAAATCTCGTGGAAAATAAGAAAGTACTGGCATTCAAATTCCCAATTATCAAACCGAAATCTTTTAAAAATTTGAAGCGTCGGATTCAGGGTGTAAACATTTTGACATGAAAAAAATGATTTTCCAACATAAATTATATTTCATTACTATATCATAGTGTCATTAAATATTTTATTACAATGACAATTTTCCTTAATCCTGGCTGTAGGAAATTTTTTTCAAAAATATTAGGGATATTCTTTGTTTAACAATAAAAAGGGAAGAACTGGTTTATAATTGTTTTCCCCGCGAACGAGATGGTTCTGGAATACTATTCTATACGTGATTTGTAGGTTAAGATGAGTCATATTTAGTCACAGTACTCTTTAAATTGGATCAAAGCTTTTTTAACGTTTACTAAATTATTGTGGGTTTTCTTTTCAGATACAAGAAAGGTTTTGCGATTTCTTCGGATCACAGAATGAACGAATTGCAGGCGGAATCCGTCTTGGTAACTCAGCCTTCTTCAGTCGGTTTTGGAGTGTTGAATGTGACCAAATTGTAAGCATCGATGATTCTACTTTTTCTGTTTAAAAACATATATTTCAGAAATAATTAGAATGACTTTTTTTTTAAACAGCGGTCGCCGGCGACGAGAGCTGACTGTAGTTCCGACCCAAAGCTTAGAAAGAAACGATTTTTTAAAGGAGGACAAAGAAAGCCTTTTTCTTCTGCGATTAAGGAGCCCTCAAAAATTAAGGTAAAGTACTCATTACTTTATTGACTTCAACATTACAAAAAAATTAATGTTTTAATTCATTCCTTATTTTTTGTAGGTGAGATAAGTACTGTCCGTACCGAGCTTCGGACGGATTACCGATAAAGTATTTTTTCGATAGAGAATGCGGTCGGGGGTTGCACTAAAGTTCCTTCTTTATAAAAATATAATAAGCATTGTACTATTGTTTACAATTTGTTAACTATTTTTATATATTTTTTAAACTTATTTTGTTCACTTAAGATTATTTTGTATTATATTACCAATTCAGTATTTTTTATAATTTCTGCTATACTAAACAGTTCAATTTTTTCCTTTACGTTTGTAAGTTTAAAATGATTAGGTTAAGAAAATAAAATTTTAAAAACGTGTAACAATTCAAATCATAATAAAGTACAAAAAGTACGATTAGTTAGAATTTTTAAACTGTATGTGTAAAAAGTTTTTGAATAATGCTATTTTTTTTTCTCTTGCATAGTAGAATTTGTGGAGAAATATTTACGTATTTTGAATGTAATACTTAGTTTAAAATATATTTGTATTCGAAAGAAACATTCCATTTAGACAAAATATTTCTTATTTTTATAAAAGTGACTTGAGAATATTTAATAAGTTATTGAACCTTTTTAAAAATTAATTCTAGTCATGAAATCATTGTGTCCTATTTGTATTATTATATTATGTCAAACTTATTTATTTATTTTAATGAAATAAACGAAAGGAAATGTACTGCATGAGACAGTTTTGTTTATTTTTTTACTGTACATCTTTTATTCATCTTGTAAAAAAATTTTCATATAAATAAATACTGTAATATCTCGTTAGTTTTTCCTTTACGTCCTGTATCACGTGTAGTTTTCTTCAAAAACAAGAATCGATTTTGAAAAAACTGACTAAATCTTGAAACACCTTTTTTTTTCTTTTTGTTCAAACACCCTAGAACGAAAGATTGTTCTAAAAATATGTACAAGTCAGAAGGCTTGCCTACAGGTATGCCACATAAAAAACAACAAATCAATGGCCACCCGAAATCTTGAACAAGGATTCCCTAAAGGTCCTGTTGCGAACCAGGGAGGTCAATATGTCTGGTTTGGTTCCATAACGACCTGTTGTTTTTAGTGTCAGGAAAACCGCGTTTGGTGTACAAAAACTGGAAATAAAAGTATATTGCCCATAAAAAATAAGCACACAAAAGCAATATTAGATTTAACTCGTTGAAACTAAAATAATATAACAAATAAAAGAAGAAGTCAAGAAGCAAACGCATCCTTTCAGATGAAAGGCTCCAACAAGTAAATCAACTAAAATACCTTGGAGCTTTTTTTGACAAATGTTTTAATTTTAGGTTTATGAGGCACCCATAATCGTTCGTGGACCAAATTACCGCATTGATTCCTACATTGCGTATCACATTTTTCCGCCAGTCGGGTTCGTTGTAGCAGCTCAGCGAGGATCAGGGATAACGCAAAAAGGTAAACTATTGCATACAGAATTTATACTGTTGGGAGCAAATGTGATGACGACGTCGGATTCGCAATGGTAGTGCATGGATAAAAGGAGCGGATTCAAAACATACAGCACAAAATCACTAGTTGAGTGAAGAACCTGACCAATTAGCTAAGGAACAGCAGAAGTCGAGAGCAACATGAAAATTACATAGTAAAATCTTAATAGCCTACATTAATCGAAGATCAATAGAAAAAAACCTCAAGAATTTGATACGTAGGGAACCTAGTTCAAACGAGGCGACAACCAAAAAAAAAAAAAAATCCTCTTGCATCTCAGCCATAAAATCAACCCAAGTCAATGGGGTTTCTCTCTCTCTCTCTCTCTCTCTCTCTCCCCTCTCACTCTCTCATTCACTTACTACTTCTCACTTTCTATCTCTCACCATTCTTTCTTTTCTTTATTAAATGCCTTGTAAATATACCATAATATAGTAAGTACACCCTGCTCTCCAAAACACGAGAATAGGCGGATCAAGTGATGGTTAAAATGGATTTTATCACTTATTTTAAATATTACAAAAATAATGTACCCATCTAATCCATAATAAAAAGAAAAATTCAACGTCTAACATTCGACACGATATCAGAGGTAAATAAAAGATTAAAAATTTTGTTCGCAAATTACACTATTTTCAGTTGGTTTCTGATTCATAAGTTGTTAGCTTTCTGATGAACCATAACTTTTGGATCTGCTTATAATCTTATGTTTCATCTGTCGTCAGATCATGGAAAATAGATGGACGCAGTATGATACGCTGGTGCAATTGGAATAGGCCACTTTCGTTCATACAAGTGGTTTTTGCATTGTATCTACTTATTTTAAAAAATGAAAAAGGTATACTATTCTTATAACCTTCGAATCCCTGGGGGTTGAAATGATTTATTAATTAAAAAAAAGGTTTAAAATGAAAAAAAAGGCTTTGTATATATTTTGTAATTGTAGTGCTATTTCGCTTTTTCAACTGATAAAAAGTTAAATAATCAAGAAAATGGAAATAGAACTTGTTTTAATCCTATGACTATTACATTGTGGAGGTTGATTAACTCAATTTTTAAAGATGCATCACGAAATCATTAACAATAGAAATGTTCAAAACACATAGATGACAGATAAAAGAATAACTTCTACAAATTATCAAATAGTCTGTACCATTTTTCAGATAATTCAACTGAAGAATAGGCTTTAGAAAACTAATAAAAAGTATCTTCCATACCTAAGAAAAATATTACGCTACAATTAGTTAAGGTTTTCAGTTGAGATAAAAAAGTCAATGGCACGAGCGGGATTCGAACCCGCGATCGTCGGCTTGATACGCCGCTGCTCTACCACTTGAGCAATCGTAACCTCGATCCACTCGGACACCAACTTCCCATCTCAAACACACCTTTTTGAATTTGACAAAAAGAAATGGCAAAAAGGAGGGAAAATTCAAAAAGGTGTGTTTGAGATGGGAAGTTGGTGTCCGAGTGGATCGAGGTTACGATTGCTCAAGTGGTAGATCAGCGGTGTATCAAGCCGAAGATCGTGGGTTCGAATCCCGCTCGTGCCATTGACTTTTTTATCTCAACTGAAAACCTTAATTAATTGTAAGATGTTGATTGGTCAAGCGCACTACGAAACTAATGAATTTAATATTATGCTACCTTGACAGTTGTAATAATTATTACAATTAATATATCTTATTGAGATCGTTAGGATGTAGACTGTATCGAGTCCAAATCATTAAAAAGCTGGTCTATATTTATATGACTATATCATTTGACATATATGAATTAACTGTTCTTCAATATTTATCTAAGAAGAAAAGGAAATAATTGAATTTTTCTTCTCCCCCATCATTTATTCACTCTGCAACGTGGGTTATTTTCTGTAGGAACATTCCTGAGCCTGAGCAACTAGAGGGAAATCTTGAAAAATGGACAGACTATGAGACATCATCACCGTCTTCATCGCATTTTTCCCCTTTCCGAAAATAAACCACCATCAAGCCGCTAAAATAAACCACTTTGCCACATCTTGCCAACTATGATGATGAGTAACAGCTATAATGCGAGCATAACATTATTACATATTTCAAAATTTGTTTAACATATAAGTTTGCAGGAAATATTAATCTAAGAACTTTTAATTACAGCCATGGTTAAAAAATAAGCAGATAATCTCCTTGCGAACACACAATATGAAGACTATATTTAGGTTTTACTGATATTAAAGCTTTCTATTCGTCAAATTGATTTTCCCATTCATATTTACTTTAATCTGTTCATTATACAGCATCGAAAGTAATTTCAGTTTTAATTAAACACCTAATTCACTCAGAAGAGCAATAAGCCCGATTTTATAATTAATACTTGCCAATCTATAAAGTAGTCAAATAAACAAGGTTTGTAGACCATCGTTCTAATTCATTTTTTAAAAATAATCGAGCTTTTCATCAACCTAATGATTTGTTGCTTCCAAAAAACATAAACTAACATAGTTTCCAAAAAGCCATATTTTACTAAAATAAATAAACTGACAAAATAAGTATTTTTCCTCCTCCACAGTTCCCCTGCAATGGAAATTATTATACCAGTTCATGTGAGACCTCTGGCTTTTAGCTTGCATAAAATACAACGATTATACATAAACATATCATTTTACTATCAACTGTCACTTAATAAGGTCAAATATAATTAATTTATGATTCTTATAAAGACTTTACTCTTGTTTTCGAGAAGCACCTCTAATAACCGGACATTCCCTCCCCTTTCTTATTACTGTGGCACTTTCCTTTTCAAAATTTGGTCACTCGAAGATTATGTGATCCCATGACTGAAGAGAGTTCGTGTATTTTTTAATTTTGAACCTTTTCAGTTAGACGTACAGTGGCCAGTTATAGCTGGATTGTTTTATAGTTCGAAAGATCACTGACAGCTTTGAGGACCTCGTTGGGAAAAATTGTTTGTGTTTGCTTTGCCTGCTTTTGCATATTTTCAAAACGGGTGACAGTTTCATACTGCAATTTCGGACATATATATAAAGGGTTATAAAAACCAACGTGTGCCACCCAGGTATCGACTATTTTCCTACTATTTTTATGAATCCTCAAATATTTATAACTATTCTATGCTTTCCGGCAACTAATAGCTCCGCCTGGTTATTGAAGTACCACTTAAGCCTGGATTTACAACTGCATGTAGGTAAATCCCATAAAAACAGTACAATATAAAGTACAGTAATAGTATAACACTAATCAGAGATGATGACAATTTAATCTTCTATTATTATCGATATTCAGTTCACTTCAACTTTTTCATTATTTTTACCGACTCAAAACGATATAAATAATTACAATTAATTAAGGTTTTTAGTTGAGATAAAAAAGTTATAAATAATGATTATTTAGAAATCGTGAGATGCGATCTGGTGTGATGTAGGNTAAACCTACAGTTCGTTATTGTACATATGCCTAGCCTAGTTTTGCTCTTATGCTCTTTATGATATTAATTAATTTATCGATCATTAATCATGCACATAACGTACATGATAGCTACAATTTTTAAGTTAAATTATGTCAAAATTTCATTATTACTTTGTGATTTTTTGTTTTAAATTTTTCCACAATTATAAACTTGCACACTTATGAAGTGTTATGAATGTCTTGTCTAAAAGTTAGCAAATGTTGTGACAGAATGAAATTGTGCCACGTTTATAAAAATTATTTATTTATATTACAACATGCATGTGTCAATAATTACAACAAACAAATAACCGCACAAAAAATGCCCTTGGGCACTCTCAACACGATAGACAAGAATGACACATCAATACGGGGAAAAAAACGCTTTGAGCTCTGAAGATGATCTCAATAAAGATCGAAACGTTGGCACGATAAAGAAAATATTTTTTTAACTACACCAGACCGCATCTCACGACCTCCAAATAATTATTTATTTATATTACAATGTGCACGAGTCAATAATGAACAAATAACCACACAAAAAATTAGTTCATGTTATTTTATGTTTTTTACGTGACGTTACAAGTATAATGAATGTCTTTCTAAAAGTTAGCAAATATTGTGACAGGATGAAATTTTGCCCCGTTTATACAACTTATTTATTTATATTACAATGTACATTTTTAAATAATAAATAAACAAAAAAATGAGTTCATGTTATTTATGTTTTTTACGTGGCGTTACAATGACCTAATTGAACACAAAGGAGGGTATTTTTATAAAAATTAACAAATTACTTGTTGAAAATAATAAAAAAAATTTAGATTTTTTTTACATTTTGTGCCATAACTTTGTTATTCTTAATTTAAATGCCAATTTAAAATCTGGTTGAGCCATCGTTTTCAACGTAAAATTTTTTTTTAAACATGGAGTAAAAAATTTACTTTCTTATTTAAAATTTCTTAGTTGTACTGGCTATGAAGTATCCTGACAACAAATATTTTTAAAAGGGTTAACAATCTAAAACTATACTTAAAAAATATTAAATAGATATTTTTTTTGGTTTTCCGAAAACAAGAAATCTAAAATCGCCATACTATGTACTTGTGAAGTTTTACTTTCTTAATAGTTCTGTGAAGAAAATCGCAGTTCTTTGTAAACATTTTAGTTATATGGGCAAATTGTTTCAATAAAGGATTTATTGTTTAAATAAATAATTTAGGCCTTTGCTTATTTAAAGGGTAAAGATTTATTAAATTTTTTTGTGGTGTTCGGTGTTTGAAATTTAGTTCTTAAGACACCTCCAGTGTGCAGAGTATATCATAAACATTGACTAACTTTTACCTATTACAGTATTTTTTACTTATGTTTTTTACACGTTTCTTCGGCAATTTAGCCAAAAATACTTGTCAAATGTAGAGCGGTCGATATCTGGGCAAAAAGGTCCATGAGNATTATTCAGAAATCGTGAGATGCGGTCTGGTGTGATGTAGGTTTCAGAAAAACATTTTCTTTATCGTGCCAACGTTTCGATCTTTATTGAGATCATCTTCAGGTCCTGCGATTTACAAACATTGTTTAGATTTAACAAATGCATGTAGGATGTGGAAAAAAGTGAATTTATACAATGCAAAAAAATATATTTTTATATTCAATCAAAGTACGCAGAAAACAAACACTTTCAGTAAGTAGAAATACTTTGATTGAATATAAAAATATAATTTTTTGCATTGGATTTTTCTGAAACCTACATCACACCAGACCGCATCTCAGGATTTATGAATATTTATCGACTAACGGTCACTAATCATCACACATTTATAAAAAAAACATTTTCTTTATCGTGCCAACGTTTCGATCTTTATTGAGATCATCTTCAGGGCCTGGGATTTATAAACACTTTTTAAATTTTACAAATACATGTAGGATGTCGAAAAAAGTGAATTTATCCAATGCAAAAAAATATATTTTTTATATTCAATCAAAGTATTTCTACTTACTCAAAATCCCACGTGTCGAAATATAGGCATCTATCATACAAACATCCCTGATAATAACTTATTTATTAATTTTTATTAAATTATTATTTGACTTCCTTATCAATTTATTTATTAATGTGGTGATTATTGTTGAATTTAATCTTTAAACCTACAGTTCGTTATTGTACATATGCCTAGCCTAGTTTTGCTCTTATGCTCTTTATGATATTAATTAANATTACAGTATTTTTTACTTATGTTTTTTACACGTTTCTTCGGCAATTTAGCCAAAAATACTTGTCAAATGTAGAGCGGTCGATATCTGGGCAAAAAGGTCCATGAGTCCATTATAATGGACATTGGTATAAGGGCCTGGCCTCGACGTCTGGAACCTTATGTCTTTTGGTTGAGGGTTGAGGCGCCAACAGGAAATGAAGGAAAGATAGTAATTGGTTGCATCATACTAAAAAATCGGAGATGCCTGACGAGTCGAAGGACGACGCGCCAAATCCATTTCCCTGTACATAAATCGAGAAATTTGGAAAAATTACTCAGATGCCATCCATCTGCCAAAATCTCCGGAATATGTTTCGATCAATTTTTTTTCTGTAAATTGTTACAAAATTTTGGAGAGGGGGTTCTCGGGTAGTGGGGAGCGCTATATATGAAGGAGCCGTTCTCTTCTACTTCACAACTGTGAGTGAGCTTCTCTTCTCAAAATGTACCTGAGACTTTCATATGTGTTTATAGCCGTTTTATCGGTTGTTGTGTTCTCAGATTGTTATTTTATAAGGTAATAAATCTTATTTACTCGTGATCCTTTTTTTTATCTATATATATATATACATGTATTTTTTATTATGATTCGACCATCTATTGATAACAGGGTTCCTTCTTAATCTATTGACGTACAGGACTGTTTTTTTTATATTCAATTTTTTTTTCTCATTTTTTCATTATATACAGTTAAACAAACACACTGTGTTAAGTGTTTTTTTTATATTAATTAAAGCAATCAAATATATTTCCAAATATATCATTTAAAATTTATACTTTAAACTACTGTATTTATTTACAATGTGTGGTGTTTAGAAGTGTTTTTATTTACAATAATGGTTAAAAACTTTCAAATTTATTTATTTCTCTTTGGGCTCTTATGAACAAGAAATTCCGAAAAATGGTACTGGGGTTGCAACTCAGATATACTGTTGCGTAAGCCAAACTTGAAACAGAAATGAAACGTGAACGTGATGTACCATGATCCTTTAGACAGAAACTAGGAAAAAAATGCTAGAAGGACTTCGAAATATAGTATTGGACTTCAAACTCCAAATTGGCAAACCGAAATCTTTTAAAATAGTGAAAATTTCTAGCAGACTATATCATAGTGTTATTAGATATCCGGTAGATTTTATTACGAATCTTCGTAAATTTTCCTTAATCCTGGCTGTAGGAAATTTGTCAAAAAATTAGGGATATTCTTTGTTTGACGTGTTTAACAATAAAAAGGGAAGAATTGGTTTATAATTTTTTTTTTCGCGAACGAGATGGTTCTGGAATATGGAACTATATGCGATTTGTGGGATATAGGGGTTGTAATAAAACAGTCACCGTTCTCTTTAAATTTGATCAAAGCTTTAATTATTTTAACTACTACTACTATTTACTACTAACTACTTTTTACCAAATTATTGTGACAAATACTAAGTAGGTTTTTCTTTTCAGATACAAGGCAAGTTTTCCGTTTTCTTCGGATCACAGAATGACTGAAATACAGACGCAAACCCGCTTGGGAAATAAGGCTTCTTCGGTCGGTCATGGACTGTACAATGTGAGCAAATTGTAAGCATCGATGATTCTACTTTTTTCCGTTTAAAAATGTATTTAGGAAATAATTATATTTTTTTTTTAAACAGCGGTCGCCGGCGACGAGGGTTGACTGTAGTTCCAACCCAAAGCTTAGAAAGAAACGATGTTTTGAATGAGGACAAAGAAAGCCTATTTCTTCTGCTATTTCGAAGCCCTCAAAAATTAAGGTAAAGTACTCATTACTTTATTGACTTAAACATAACAAAAAAAACTAACGTTTTAATTCCTTATTTTTTCACTTTTTAGGTGAGATAAGTACGATCCGTACCAAGCTTCGGACGGATTGAAGAAAAAGTATTTTTTCGATAGAGAATGTGGTCGGGGGTTGCACTTAAGTTCCTTCTTTATAAAATTATAATAAGCATTGTACTTTTGTTTATAACTTGCAAACTATTTTTCTGTATTTTTTTAAACTTATTATTTATTTTGTATTATATTACCAGTTCAGTATTTTTTTTATAATTTTTCTGCTATATTAAACAGTTCAATTTTTCCTTTATGTTTATAAGGTTTAAAATGATTCGATTAAAAAAATAAAATCTTAAAAACGTTTAACATTTAAAATATTCAAAAATAAAGTATAATTAGATAGATTTTTGTAAACTGAGAGATTGTTATACAATTCTTATTTTGTCCCCTTTTAGAGAGTAGAAGTTAAGGAATCTTTATTAATTCAGAATGTATTACTGAGTTAACATTGTATTTGAAATCTAAAGAAACATTCCATTTATACAAAATATTTCTTATTTTTATAAAAGTGTCTTAAGAATATTTAATAATTTAATGAACCTTTTTAAAAATTAATTCTAGTCATGAAATCATTTTGTCCTACTACTATTATTATGTTATGTCCAACCTATGTATTTATTTTAATGAAATAAACAAAAGTAAGCATTGCATAAGACAATTTCGTCTATTTTTTTACCGTTGTTAACCCATTGTAAACTTTAAGTTCTGTTGTGATGTAGGTTTCAGAAAAACATTTTCTTTATCGTGCTAACGTTTCGATCTTTATTGAGATCATCTTCAGGGCATGATTTACATATAAATTATACATTCATTGAATATAAAAAATGAAAAAAATATATTTTTGCATTGTATAAATTCACTTTTTTTCACATCCTACATGTCTTTGCTAAATTTAAACAATGTTAATATAAATCCCAGGCCCTGAAGATGATCTCAATAAAGATCGAAACGCCGTTTCTGAATAATCATCGACTAACGGTCACTAATCACCACACATTTAAGTAAATAATTATTAGATGGTAGGTTATTGTTGTTTAGCTTTTATTAAGGATTATCGACAGACTCAACCGTAAATTAAACTCAAGTCAATAATAATTGGGTAGTCGTGAATAAGTAAGTGCACATGCATGTTATGAAGAGATGAAAAGTTCTATATTTCTGAGGGCCCAACTAGCAGAATACATAAAGAACAAAAAATGGTAAGTAACAAGTCACTCACTCACTCTCTCTCACTCTCTCTCTCACTCTATCTCTCTCACTCTATCTNTCTCTCTCTCTCTCCCCCTTCCTCCCTCTCTCCATCCATTTTTTGTTTTCTAGTTGCACTTTCTATCTCTTATTCCTTTTCACCCCTCTTTCACTCCATCTCTCTCTCTCTCTCTCTCTCTCTCTCTCTCTCACTCTATCTTTCTCACTCTATCTCTCCTTCTCTCTCTCTCTCTCTCTCTCTCTCTCTCTCTCTCTCTCTCTCTCTCTCTCTCTCTCTCTCTCTCTCTGAAAATGTCTGACTTTGTATTAGCTTTCTCTCTCTTTCTCTCAACGTTCTTCCTTTTCTTTAATAATTACCTTATAAATAAACAAGGATATAGTAAATACAATATAATTCATATTAAAGTATCATTAAATTATTTATTACAATATTAATAATATATTCAATTAATTGAGGTTTTAAGTTGAGATAAAAAAGTCCGTGTCACGAGCGGGATTCGAACCCACGACCTTCGGCTTGATACGCCGCTACTCTACCACTTGAGCTATCGATCCTTTTCCTCTCGGGCACCAACTTCCCATCTCAACCCCACCTTTCGAATTTTCCCTCCTTTTTGCCATTTTTCAATCGAATCCCGCTCGTGACACGGACTTTTTTATCTCAACTTAAAACCTTAATTAATTGAATGTTATTAATTGGTCAAGCGGACCACGAAAAATAGTGAAATTAATAATATAACCTATATAAATAACCTTTTTATGTAAGGTTTTGGTTAAAATGAAAAGTTAAAAGTTAGTGATTTAGAGCGGCGACGTGTTTAGCCGAAGGTCGTGGGTTCGAATCCCGCTCGTGACACTAACTTTTTCATATCAACCAAAACCTTACATAAAAAGATTAATTGATTGAAAGAAGTAATTTGGTCAATCAGACCACTAAATATAATGTATATAAATAACGTTCGCCTGCGATATCATGCCAATAAAAACCAAATTAAATGAGTGTCCATTCTATAATATCTGACAAAATTTACACCTTTACATCTTACTCTCTTAAAAGCAAGAATAGGCGGATTTTAAATATTAAAAATCAGGGATAAGGCCAACTTGATATGAAACGCTCCGTCGTGCTTCCAAGTAAACTAAAATTAAGCAATTTCGTGCCCGGATGTAAATTTGAATTTTAAAAAGGCCTGCTTTTCTCGCTTTTTGTCTGTCTAAATTTTTTTAAATATTTAAATTCTGTAACAGTCCTGTTAAAAAAAAATTCTTCAATATGGCCCAAACCTTTTTACTGTTTATTAGAAATGGACCGAATAAAAATACAAAGGTCGTGAAAAGTAAGGAGTAATTTAATTTGATATAAACCTGAAACCAAACTTTGCGTCATTTAAATATAAAGCAAGGAAGGTCTTTATAGAAAGACAGACAGATGATCGGGATTAACTTCGTTCAGCGTGGGTGAGGACCGCGGGTGATTATTTTTAGAAAGTGAGAAGTATAAAAAGAAAATCGACTGGCAAAATAACACGCAGACCAACCACTGAATAAAGCAAAATGCTAAAAACACCGAGAATAAACTGACCAGAATGATCAGACATAATTAAGCTACTCGGCAAAACTTAGAATAGGCAGGCAGTTCAAATTAAAATGCTTGAAACAAGGGAAACAATTTTTTTTAAAGTGGCCAGGAATCAGTAAGCACTCCACATTCTATTGGTCAAAGTAATCATTGCACATTTTTAAAATTGTATGTCAGTTTAAGTATTTTGACCTTTTGGATTTACAAAGCAGAAGAATAAAGAATGAAGATTTTTCCTTTCTTCAGAATTGAAAATCGTGGTTGAGAGGGAATGCTCATTATCTTTTAAATTCCCTGTACTAACGTATCATTATTTTTTTACATAAAGGTATAATTGAACTATATGTATAAGTTTGTTAACAATTTATATATTTTTAATGACTAAGTTGTGCAATGTTGAAAATATTGCAAAATTCTTCTAGAAATGGGTATGGGCGAGAAATTCGACGTTTCGGTAAGATGTAAATTGATGGACCAACCAAGGTTAATATTTGTCTATAAGTTTCGTAATTCGTGGTCCGATGGACCAAATAAATTCTTTTCAATTAATTAGTATTTGATTAAGGTTTGGTTGAGATAAAAAAGTCAGTGTCACGAGCGGGATTCGAACCCACGACCTTCGACTCTCTACCACTATCGTACGAGCTATCGTGACCTTGACCTACTCGGTCTCCCGATCTCAACCCCACCTTTTGAAATTGAAAAATGGCAAAAGGAAAGAAAACTCAAAACGTGGGGTTGAGGTTGGTGTCCGAGAGGATCGAAATCACGATAACTCAAGTGGTACATCAGCGGCGTATTTAGCCGAAGGTCGTGGGTTCGAATCCCGCTCGTGACACTGACTTTTTTTTCTCAACCAAAACCTTATTAAAAATTAAATAATTGAAAAGTTAATATTTGCAACATCTTAATACACTCTTGAATTTGTTGAGTCCGCCTTCCATCGTTTATGTTTCATTCAAACACGTTTCGGTTTCACGCCATCGTCGTCGAGGAACTCTGCCTTGACCCATGTTTCTTAGGATGCGGAAACAAACGCAGTGTTTCCTTCGTCCATATAACGAGAGATTTACGTGATTATTTCCAAACAGAAAAATGTTTTTTTCATCAGTATCATGGCCATCATCGTAACTAAAAGACGTATTTTTTGCATTCCATTTATGTGCTATTTGGAGCTATTACTTAACTCGATGGCATAGAATGGTAAGGAATGCATTATAATGATTGTCAACCCATTGAAAAGGTACCTCGTATTAAATAAATGTATAAACCCAGACAACACAAATAAAACATCAATCACTGTTGTGGTTGAAAGCGTTCAAAACATTACGTATGAATGACATTGACATAGAAGATGTATATCGCAATTACCCTCCCTAAGTATTATCGATCCAAAGCAACATATTATTTGCGCCCGCGGTTGAAGGAAAGGGGAAAGGTCACGGGGGTAAATGCCCGTCAGATGTTGAACTGGTTTTGCCAAAGAAATTAGCAGAATCTGTCAAAAGTCTAGAAACGATGAATTTATTGACGTTTTGCACATTAATACAAATAAAAATTATGATCACCTTTTAATCGAACTGGAATTTAATTTTTGAGATTGAAAACAACGTTTTGTAATGCATGCTTTTTATAGTATAATACACTCCGAGATGAATCGAATACTCTGGGATGAGTGTATGACGACTGGAGAGTAAAAGTAATTATTAGCGAGAATGGAGTGGGTTCAGCCCCGCCCCGAGGAATAACGAGTACTCTCGGGTGAGCGTGTGATGTCTGGAGAGTAATGTGACGTCTGGAGAGTAAAAGTAATCTATTAGCGAGAATGGAGTGGGTTTAACCCCGCCCCGAGTAATATCGAGTACTCTGGGGTAAATGTCTGACGTCTGGAGAGTAAAAGTAATTTATTAGCGAGAGTGGAGTGAGTTCAACCCCGCCCCGAAGAATATCGAGTACTCTGGGGTAAATGTCTGCCGTCTGGAGAGTAAAAGTAAGTTATTAGCGAGAGTGGAGTGGGTTCAGCCCCGCCCCGAGGAATATCGAGTACTCTGGGGTGAATGTCTGACGTCTGGAGAGTAAAAGTAATTTATTAGCGAGAATGGAGTGGGTTCAACCCCGCCCCGAGGAATATCGAGAACTCTGAGGTGAATGTCTGACGTCTGGAGAGTAAAAGTAATTTATTAGCGAGAATGGAGTGGGTTCAACCCCGCCCCGAGGTATATCGAGTATTCTTGGGGAGTGATAGTGACCATACTTCTGCGTTTCTATCGAGTGTTGTGTTTGTGTTAATTTATTGTAATGAATGTAATTTATTAGTCTGAAAGGAAGGGGTTGTTTATAACCCTGCCCCGAGGAATATCGAGTACTCTGGGATGAGTGTATGACGTCTGGAAAGTAAGTTATTAGCGAGAATTGAGTGAAACATTCATTCGCCTGGTGGTTCATTTTCCTTTCATAGTCAAAGATTTGAACTCATCCGACACACAACATACACCTTACTGTTGTTCGAGCGATTCGTCAGCCGGTCAGCTCCAGGAAGTTCGAGGTGTCCAAATTTATGAACCCAATGCTCGAAGAAGATGAAATCAGAATGGACTGATGGATTTCCCCGTAAGAGGATCAGAATGAAGTGGGTGGGATTTTCAATGGAGATCGCACAGAGTTGGTTGTTGTTCGTGGAAGGTCTTTGACGGCCGCTCACTATGAGGATGAAATTTTGGAACATCGCGCGTTGCCTATCCTGGATTAAATCAGCAACAATCCTATTCTAATGAACGATAATGCACGCCCACATATCGCTACATAGTACAAACCTTCAATAACATA